TGGCACACAAGAGTCACCACGCCCGACCGCCTTTGTCTCCCTAGTGATGATGTTATATATATATATCATAGCAGGTACCTGATGAAGGTTGAGTCAACATAGGGGGAGGCCCAGCACTGGTTCAGATAATTGCCACTGGTGTTGGTGGCCGTGAGCAGGAATCGAAATATGGTGACTGGGTTCGTAGCGCACCGTGCTAACCACTACACTTCCAGTCGGCACATTAAAAACACACACACGTACAGCAATACCCCGGGTTAGGTCGGGGATGCGTTCCTGAATGGTGCGACGACGAATATCGAAACGGTGTCAATGGAAGCGATGTCCAGGGTACGGTGGTGGAGGCGAAGACCGAGAGAGTTGAGACGGTTAACGACAAAGGACGGACGACAACGACGCTGTCAGCAACGTGGGGGTTGAGGGCAACTCAAATATGCTGGCGGTGTTCGTAATAAAGTGACGAAGTGCTTGCGAAATGACGTAAAAGGGGGAGACGTAAATCGGCGTATTGCCGTACACACAAAAACCTGTTGTGCCTTCATGGGGAGTGGCATGCGCTGGTGGTGGGGGGGGGCTGAGCCTCGCAGAAGCGGCAAGGTATGCGGAGAGACAACAAAATATCGCAGTCTCGGGGTCTGTGAGCCCCCTGCTACGCGAGAGACCGGCAACTTGCACAGGCGAAGAGAACAGCCGAGAGAGACGCAGAGCGGCCGGGAGAGACGACCACAACGATGGAGACGGAGCACTTCTTCTTCTCACTCACCCTGCAGACAGCACATAAAAGATCCAAGTACTGTTACCGTGCACCTGTGTAGGCCGGCACGGCACACGAGGGGGTCAGGGGTCAGCACCACGCCCGGACGACTCTGTCTCTCCAGTGGCGATGTTTACTACACACCGCACGATGTACTGATGTGAGGTTCCCCACACACAACGCACTCTCCGACCCACACGCGCACACCCTCAGGCGCAGACAGGCCGGTCCGACATTGCGACGTGCTTAAAGCCAGCCCATTGTCCTCGGCAAAACATCCAAAAGACATCCATTCCACCCGCCCCGACGGATGGCTTGTGAATCGGAGAGCGCCACGGGCGGCCCGGACCGCTTTCACGCTCAACTTGCCCCCCACTTAAGTCGTTTTACGCCACTCAGCCCCCCGCCACTTTGCCTCTCCTTCCCTCCCTCCCGTTCCCGCTCGTCGCTTGCGGTGGAGTGAGTCGGTAGACGACGATGACGTTTGCGTGCTGCGTCGACTTTCCGCCTCTCGCGTCAATGCGCGACCACTCTTGTTGCCTCTCATTTAATGCGAAAGTTTGATGGGGGTGGGGGGAGGGGAGTTCGTCTTATTATCCTGTAGGTGTGTGCTGTACGTGGTGGAGGGGGAAGAGTGGTGGCACAGCGGTTAGCGAAGTATTCCTGTAGTGGCAAATAATCTTTAACTGTCCCGGGCCTACCCTAGGTCGACTCGGCCTTAAATAACTACCCGTGTGCTGTGCCGGCCTTCCTGAAATGCCCGCTTAACAGCACTTTCCCCAGCAGTCTGTTAAAGACTATACAGGGTCTCTTTATTTTACTCATTGGTTTTTTCGGTAAAGTCACGTATGTAGAAATACAATAAAATTATATTAAAACAAAAAACAATCACGACGTTTCGATCACAATGCAAGCGATCTTCATCAGGTGTCAAGAACAAATCATGGAGGTAAATACAACAAAAAGATGAGAGACGAGAATTCAGCAAACCTGAAAAAACATTATGTGAAGCACATCCAGTCAGGCCAACAACACAGTTAGACACTTCCTGGTGGACCACGAATTTCAGAAAAGTGTTAAATTTCGTGTTCAACCTTTGGATTGCACATACCAGCATAGATAGAATGAAAAAATTCGAGGTACACGGTCAGTAGAAATACATATACAAGTCCACCAAGAGGTAAGGAGGGAGGAAAGACGGACAGGGAGGCAGAGAGAGGGGGGGGGGTGGCCGGAGGGATGAACAAAAGCTTAAATAGGAAATACGGTTGGAGGGGGGGAGGGGCCCGAGCGAGAGCGGCAGCTCAAACACGCACATCTTACACATACAAAACGGCAGCTCAAAAAAGGACCACCTCTTGTAAATACAAAACGGCAGTTTTGTATTTATATATATAAATATTTATTTATATTTATATATAAATACTTATTTAAGTATTAAATAAAAATGTATTTAAATATTTATATATAAATACAAAACTGCCGTTTTGTATTTACAAGAGGTGGTCCTTTTTTGAGCTGCCGTTATGTATGTGTAAGATGTGCGTGTTTGAGCTGCCGCTCTCGCTCTGGCCCCTCACCCCCTCCAACCGTATTTCCTATTTAAGCTTCTGTTCACCCCCCCCCCCCCTCTCTCTCTGCCTCCCTGTCCGTCTTTCCTCCCTCCTTACCTCTTGGTGGACTTGTATATGTATTTCTACTGACCGTGCACCTCGTATTTTTCATTCTATCTATGCTGGTATGTGCAATCCAAAGGTTGAACACGAAATTTAACACTTCTGAAATTCGTGGTCCGCCAGGAAGTGTCTAACTGTGTTGTTGGCCTGACTGGATGTGCTTCACATAATGTTTTTTCAGGTTTGTTGAATTCTCGTCTCTCATCTTTTTGTTGTATTTACCTCCGTGATTTGTTCTTGACACCTGATGAAGATCACTTGCGTTGTGATCGAAACGTCGTGATTGTTTTTTTGTTTTAATATCATTTTATTGTATTTCTACATACGTGACTTTACCGAAAAAACCAATGAGTCATTTTACGCAGTCACGAAAGCTTTAATACTTTATTCTCTTTATCTTCACGACCATGTTTGTATAACTTTATTGACACAGGGAAAAGATTGGGAAGAGAGGGGTGGGGGTGTGCGTCTTTCTTGGAGTGCCTTATAAGGTCGCCAAGGTGGCGAGATGCTTACTCCCTCACCACCTTGTATACAGGAGGTCATGGGTTCGATCTTGACCTTGCCGCATGTACATTTGGAGTTTGCATGTTCTCCCCGTGGTCATGCGGATTTTTCTCTGGGTCCTTCTGTTTGTTCCTCCACATTTAGAAGCATGCGTTTAGACTATTTGGTTGCAAATGTCCACGTGATAAGCCACTGCGTTGAGCTGTCATTTGTGGTCAGGTCGCGTATGAAAAAGAGCTACGTAGCTCAGTGGGCCTTAGCTGTTAAAACTTTAAATAGTTTTGTTTACAATTGGGAGAACGCGGTCACAAATTCACACCCTGCTCTCCCCTCCAAAGATGTGGTGAGAATTCCCAGGAATGTGCGGTTACGTTTAAAAAAAAAACACTTTCTCTCGTTGGTGTCGCCTCGCTTGAGCATTGCCCTCGTGAGCCTGAAGGGAACATTCGCATTATAGTTAGCCAGGGGTGGCGGTGGTTGGCTACGCTGCACGCTGCACTCTGCACATGTCCTCCAATTCAGCATCTGTAAATTCGCACCTCCGATTAACACGGTTGACTGCGTGCGGTGCGAAAGGGGTTCTACATACATACGCTGTATGGAGGCAGCAGCGAGGGTTGGTGGGTCACCGCACAAATGTTGCGAAACTCCCCTTCCCGTGGGCGTTGAGGAGGGTGTCGTACCTCGGCTCACCATGAGAAGGCACTACAGCAAAAATGTGGTCTCCATCTGTTCCATCTATACATCCTCCCAACATGTAAAGTGCACATTAATTGACCGATAACACCTCGATGCATAGAGAATCGCAAAGATTGGGAAATTGTTGGCGCCGGCTCCACACCGCATGAGCTGCTTATCCCGCTCGACCGTGGTTCCTCCTCACGCTCCAGAGATGGTTCTCCACCTTCAAGAACCAGCGAACACTGCAGTGCTGCGTTACAAGTTTAAATTGTAATAATTGTTATTTACGTTATCCTATTGATATAATCTCTGGGGCAATGTGAATGGTTATAACAATAAAGTAAAATCTTGATTTTAAGTTTCGTGACTGCATGAAGTCACGTAGATAGAAAAATAAATAATATATCACGACGTTTCGATCGCAACAACAAGCAACCGTCTTCAGGTGAGAGAGAGAAGCATGCCGTTGTGACGAGGCATTATATAGATCTGAGAGGGGGGAGGGGAGGCCGGAACGGGCGAGAGGGTGGGGGTGAAATTCAAAGAGGGCTTTAGGTGAGACAGAAAAAAGGAAAAGGAAGCTTAGATATCAAACTTAACAGAATGTAGAAATGTAATGCAACTCAGAGAGTCTGCTAACACAACAGTTGACACTTTACCTGGTTGATCAACGTCCTTCCAAAGATTGCTCAATTTAAATTCATCTTCTCGGTTGAAGTTGTGTCTGAGTTGTGTGGAAATCCTCCCCGTATAGGCGGGTCAATCTTGCTTTGAAGCTTTCGTGACTGCAGGAATTCATACTCTTTGGTTCTTTTGGTAAAGTGACGTAGGTAGAAAAATAAATAATAGATCTCTGTCGCCTGATCTATTATTTATTTTCTTATCTACGTGATTTTACCGAAAGAACCAAAGAGTATGAATAAAATAAAGTGGTTGTTTCGTATGGCATCGTCGTTCATGCAAATTTCATCTCACATTCGCTGAAGTACCACTTAGCTGGCACTAAGTGGCACCAACGCAACCAACAGTGCTACCAACAATCGCCAAACCTCTGCAGGTCTCTCATTAACATGAATATATTTTCTGCTATTGAACGAGCATTTAAACATATCAGAGGAAACCGGAGCACTCGGAGAAAACCCACGCATGCGAGGGGACAACGCTCACCCTTACAGAAGCGACAGATGATGTCAATCTGCACTTTGCTGTTCCATATTCTACTGGCGAGCCAGGGTATGGGCACCTCGGCTCCCTCCCTCTCTCTCTTCCTCCATGGAGGCCACGTGAGCAACCACCACCGCGACAGCCCGGCTTGGTTACACGGTGGGTATGGATTTTAACTCTCGCTCCCCCCCCCCCCATCCTCTCTCCGCTCCCCGTAGATCTTCTCCATATTCGCGTTCGCCACATGTAGCGGCTACACGGGGGAGCTGGGCATCACCGTCAACTGCAAGAATCGCTCCGAAGCCAACCCCAACGTCATCATCAAGTTCTCCTACCCGTTCCGGTAGTGGAAATTAACAAAACGCCACGGTCACAGCGTGCACTTGAACACGCATGCAGAACGGACGACCTGAATGCATTCGTCAGCGAGTTGAGTTTTCGCTCTGGAGACCCGGGGGGCCGTTGATCGGTGTTCGGTCGCCGGGCTAATGGTGGCACTGGTCGTGGTTTCTCGCCAAACAGAGGAGGGAAGCCATGTGCAGGCGACCATCATCCACTCTGTTAATCGATAACACTGGCCTTCGAAATGAATAACAGGCGATGCTGACCCCCATACCCCCCTACTGGACAGCTGTGAAAGAGAGCTTCATAGTTTCAATTTAAAGCTTTCGTGACTGCAGGGATTCATGTTCTTGGTTCTTTCGGTAAAGTCACGTAGAAGGGAAATAATGAAATAATAAAAATAAAACATAAAATAAAATTCTCACGACGTTTCGGCCACAACACAAGTAGCCTTCCTCAGGTGAAGAAACAGAACTGCCGGGAAGACAGCATTTTATTGAACACTGCTAAGCTTAGCAGCGTATTTTAAGCTGGGTGGGAGGAGCAGAGCGCCTTGACAAAGGAGTTTACATATCAACAGAAGAATTTAGCATTGAAGTAGCTGTGTTAATGTGATAGATAAGCAGGATGTTAAAGTCAGAAATTAGCATGTAACTGGGAGATTAGCATGATGTTAGTGTGAGGGATTAGCATGTAACTGGTCACAGAAGTAGCTATGTTAAAGTCAGAGTTTACATATCAACAGAGGTATTTAGTAAATTGATGCTATATAACTGCAACTACCCACCTATCATACAATAAACTGATGTGAAAGAACTAAATATAAACTATATAAATATAATCAATGTACTCAATATATTCTCCAATAAGCTGAACTATTAACATAAAGTAACTGGGTATACACTACACTATATAATGAATACCATGTAGTAAACTGATACAAAACTAAAATATTAAGTACATCAATATTATCAATAAACTCAATATACTCTCCAATCAGCTGAGCTACTAACAATAAGTCATTATACATTACAATTCTACATCGAAAAAAGTGGCGGTTTCTTTCTTATTTTTTTCCTCAACGTTAGCACCACGGAAAGCGACGAGCTTTGTTCAGACGGACGAGTCCATCTATGCTCGGAACGGAGGAGGGGGGAGAAAGAAAAACAGCCACGATGCGCTGCTCTGTCCTGTGTTGCGTTACAACTATGCTATAAACTAGACTACTATACATTACAATATTATACCTTCCAATCTAAACTACATTGACCGTCGTGTGAAAGTTACTAAGAAGCAGTGCCAGCGAATGGACTGCGGTCTGAAAGTCACCGTAAAATACAATCAATCAAGAACCGAAATGGTTTATCACGTCTTTCCAATTATTACTAAGCCAGAAGCCATCTTCTCAGTTGAAATTGTCTCTGTGTTTGTATATGTGGATGGCCTCATGAACGAATCTCTCATGGTAGCAGGATGGCTTGCAGAGAACCTCCGTCTTGGAGAAGTCAATGTCATGTTAGCCTACTGAATTATAACAGTGATCTGCCATGGCTGAGGTGTTCGTCCTACCGTGTTTCAAGTCTGCTTTATGTTCACGGATGCGGTCCGAGACATGTCGTTTGGTTTCTCCAATGTAACTGCTACCACAGAGGCAACTTAGCTTGTAGGCGCCCGGGTACTGTATGTCTGGAACCACATCTTTTACAGATGGAACCAGATCACGGATTTTATGTACCGTGTTGAATCGGACCTGGATCTTGTGTTTATTCAGGATTTTGGAGATATTTTTTTTGTGACCCCCGCAATGTAGGGTAAGGTGATGGTTTTGAATGGCTCCTCAAGAGGATCCTTCTTCATGGTTGGAGTGATGGTTTTGCGTATTGTGTAGTCGGAGTAACCATTAGCCTTGAGAGCTTGGTGTACGTGCTTGAGTTCACTGGCAATGTGTTCCTGGTCGGAGATGCATTGAGCTCTATGGTATAGAGTCTTGATGAGGGAATTCTTCTTGGATGGATGGTGGTGGGAATCCGGTTTTAAGTAAGCATCCGTATGGGTAGCTTTCCTGTAGACAGTGGCTCATTGAACCATCAGGTCTTCTTTTAATTAGGACATCCAAAAAGGGTAGCTTGCCATCTTTTTCGACTTCCATGGTAAATCTGATGGCTGGGTGTATGGAATTGATGTGGTCGAGGAATTGGTCTAGAGCATAAGGTCGGGTGTAGAGTGGCAGTCAGTCTCAAATTTCTCCATGAAAACGTTGGCTACAACCGGAGATAGGGGGGAGCCTATTGGGGTGCCCTCAGTTTGTTTGTAGAAAGTTCCATTCCAGGTGAAGTATGTGTTGGTTAAGCAGTGTCTCACCAGGGGGGGTACATCAGTATGCAGTCCTTGATGAACCAAGTCTTCAATGATTGCGATGGTGTCAGGTACAGGAACTTTGGTGAATAAGGAAACCACATCAAAACTGACAAGGCGCTCTGCTGCTACCACCTAGCTTAAAATATGCTGCTAAGCTTAGCAGTGTTCATTGAGACGCTGTCTTCCCGACAGTTCTGTTTCTTCACCTGAGGAAGGCTACTTGTGTTGCGGCCGAAACGCCATGAGAATTTTATTTTATTATGTTTTATTTTTATTATTTTATTAATTCCCTTCTACGTGACTTTACCGAAAGAACCAAGAAGATGAATCCCTGCAGTCACGAAAGCTTTAAATCGAAATTTAACTGCCTCTACGGGGAGGGATACCACATAACCTTGAGATCCTTCAACAAACTCCGGGATAAGAAGACTCAGCTAATCGAGTCTCTCACGTTTCTAAAGAGATGCCGCGACTCTAAGGTAATACCAACCGCATTTACACTAACATCTGCTGCTGTAACTTCTTCTAATGCAATACGAATTCTATCTAGAACTAGCTTAGCTCTTATCTCAGAAATAATCAGACTTACGCGCACCGAACTAGATCAGTTAGACAAGACACTCTACAAATCACACTTATCATTGACGGCAATAATGCCCGCATCGGATTGGGAACATGTAGACAATATGACTGCCTCTTCAGCTGCCACTATGTCAACCAAATGTAAGGATAACTCGATTTCCAAATTCAATCGCCTCTCCAACAAGAAATCGGAACCACACACCAAAAAGCTAGACGTTAACAAAGTCGTAATTAATCGCAGTAACAGCTCTCTTTCTGATGGTCTGAAATCCGTTTTAACTAAAGGGCTAAACTTTGCAGTCACACCTAGACACATACCAGTTAATGATATCATTGCCCATGTCGACGTGGCTCTCAAGGGCCTGGGTCACATCGCTGCAGACGTAGCAAGATCTGAAATCGCTGCAAACCTAAAAAATGCTAAGATGCCAGCTTGCAACATAAGCAAAGATGAGCGTTTTGAATTATCTCAATTAAAAAAGAGGGATGACATTGTCATCCTCTCAGCCGGCAAGGGCAATGCCACTGTCATCATGGACAAATTAGACTATAACAACAAAATTCAGGAACTACTCAACGATGGCAGCTATACAAAAATAAGAAGAGACTCCACCAACAGCCTCGTCACTAAAACCAACAAAATCATTTCTGATTCAACCGCATTAATTGATCAAACCAAACAGTTATCGATGAAACCTTCTTGCGGCCAGGCCACCAAGATTATATGGGCTTCCAAAGATACATAAAGAAGATACACCCCTTCGTCCCATTGTTTCTACTATCAACTCCCCCACCTACAAACTGGCTCATTTTTTGTCTGAAATCCTGCAGCCTTTTACTGTAAAAACTACCTCTGTGGTACTAAACTCTACTCACCTGGTATTGACAATCAAGGGTATTTCCCTGTCCCCAGACAACCTGCTTGTCAGTTTTGATGTGGTGTCCTTATTCACCAAAGTTCCTGTACCTGACACCATCGCAATCATTGAAGACTTGGTTCATCAAGGACTGCATACTGATTTACCCCCCCTGGTGAGACACTGCTTAACCAACACATACTTCACCTGGAATGGAACTTTCTACAAACAAACTGAAGTCTGATTTTTTTCTGAGATAAGAGCTAAGCTAGTTCTAGATAGAATTCGTATTGCATTAGAAGAAGTTACAGCAGCAGAGGTTAGTGTATATGCGGTTGGTATTACCTTAGAGTCGCGGCATCTCTTTAGAAAGGTGAGAGACTCGATTAGCTGAGCCTTCTTATCCCGGAGTTTGTTGCAGGATCTCAAGGTTATGTGGAATCCCTCCCCGTAGAGGCAGTGAAATTTCGATTTAAAGCTTGCGTGACTGCAGGGATTCATCTTCTTGGTTCTTTTGGTAAAGTCACGTAGAAGGGAAATAATAAAATAATAAAAATAAAACATAATAAAATAGAATTCTCATGACGTTTCGGCCGCAACACAAGTAGCCTTCCTCAGGTGAAGAAACAGAACTGTCGGGAAGACAGCGTCTTAATGAACACTGCTAAGCTTAGCAGCGTATTTTAAGCTAGGTGGTAGGTTCATCAAGGACTGCATACTGATGTACCCCCCCTGGTGAGACACTGCTTAACCAACACATACTTCACCTGGAATGGAACTTTCTACAAACACACTGAGAGCACCCCAATGGGCTCCCACCTATCTCCGGTTGTAGCCAGAGAAGTTTGAGACCGACGCCATCCAGACTGCCACTCTATACCCGACCTTATGGAAGAGGTACGTGGAAGACACTTTTGTCATCTGGCCACATGGCCGGCCTGCTCTAGACCAATTCCTCAACCACATCAATTCCATACACCCAGTCATCAGATTTACCATGGAAGTCGAAAAAGATGGCAAGTTACCCTTTCTGGATGTCCTAATTAAAAGGAGACCTGATGGTTCAATGAGCCACTCTGTCTACAGGAAAGCTACCCATACGGATGCTTACTTAAAACCGGATTCCCACCACCATCCATCCCATAAGAATTCCCTCATCAAGACTCTATACCATAGAGCCCAATGCATCTCCGACCAGGAACAC